TATTTACTTGATTGATAAATATTGATTTTTTAATTAATTAATTAATTGAGTAGAGAATTATGATTATATGCTTTAATTATGGAGTAAATTATAATTAATTACATTGTTAGTTAAATCATAATTAATTATAATGATTATAGTTGATTGATTAATTAAATCATAATTACATATTTAATTACTAAATAAACTATGATTAATTTAATTAATTAATTGATTAAAAAGTTATTATGTGCTAAATAGATAGTCAAGATTATTTTTAAAGCAAAATGAATAGTTAAGATTATTTTGAGAGAAATGGATAGTCAATTTTTACTTTGACAGCCAAATGGACAATCAACCAAATTTTGACAGCCAAATGGATAGTCAATCCTACTTTGACAGTCAAATGGACAGTCAACCCTATTTTGACAGCCAAATGGACAGTCAACTCTATTTTGACAGCCAAATGGACAGTCAACCATACATTGACAGCCAATATAATGGTATAATTTTTTTTTTCCTTTTCCCTATCATAATTTTTTATTTCATGTTGATGCATACCATTTACTAGCATATTAATTTTATGTTAATTTGCATAGGAATTGTTGAGGATACTCCTGAATCATTATGGGATTGTCCATCTCGGAGTCCTCTAAGGAAGAAGTTGACAACATCAAGGAATCATATTGCAATCCCCCAAGACATTCCATTGCCTAAAAATGAAGTCAACGTTGTTTGCCAAATATGTGATATTTCTGGAAATGTTGCTACTATATGCCCGCAACGATATAAAGTAACTTGTCAACTGTGTAACCGTGAGGGTCATACTGCAAAAGTTTGCCCAAATCGCTACCGATCAAAAAGGGCAAAAATATGACATAAGGACCCGAACTTACACCAAATTCGCAATTTCGGACCCAAACTTTGATTGCACTCAATGAAGGTCCCGAACTCCACCAAATTCTCAAATAAGGACCCGATTGGACGGAAAATTAACTTCCGTTAAATCTCCTATTATTCCGTTAATGTTCCGTCACACTTCACACCCGCTCTCGAAAAAATTGATTAAATTCTAATTTTGGTCCCTCAACTTCATTAAATTGCACTTTTTTGTCCCTTAACTTCATTTAAATTTCACTTTTTGTCCCCTAACTTGATTAAATTGCACTTTCTTATCCTTCAACTTTATTAAGTTATACTTTTTTGGTCTTTAAACTATTTTTTGTACTTTTTTTATCTTTGAACTTTAACAACTGCACAATTTTGATACTTTCGTCAGTTTAAACCGTTAACTTCATTCATATGGTATTTTTTATATTTTTTTGATGACATATATAATCTAATTGAAAAAAAATAATAACATAGATCATCTAACTAGAAATAATGATGACATGGATAAATAAAATAATATGTA